GCTATTTTCGCGAACTAAGTGATAATATTACTCAAAGATTGTTTAATTTTTTAATGTTGAATTAGAGGTTTTACAATAAAGCAACATATAGTGAAATAAATTTATAAATTTATAAATACTAAATGTAGTTTTTTATTTCATTTATTCTTTTTCTTCATAAGACAAAATTTTTTTTGTTAAATAAGAAAAATTTAGTTGCATTTATATTTTTAATTGATTTCCTTATTTTCAGGTATGGTTAGCAATATTAGTTATTATTTAATTAATCATTATTATTTAATTTTTTGGAATTAAAATTGTTTTAATTGAAGCTTTTATACAACAGTTATTTACAGTTTTGGTAAATTTCTAGTTTAGCAGTCTAGTTTAGTTTTTGCTCATTATAAATTTTTTTTTAGAAAAATGCTTTTTTACAAAAAAAAAATAAAAAACACTTTTTTGTGCTTCCTTCGATTAATATCTTGTTTTAAATGATAAAATAAACCTCTTATTATAGAAACGATAATAAAATAGCGAAAATTGGAAAACTAGAAATTTAAACTAGAAATTTACCATAGATTTTTTTTTTAGACATTCTAATTCCATTTTTCTTTCAAACATCTCACCTGACGGCATCGATACACTTTGAACAACATTTTCTCAGTCGTAAATTTCGAACGTCGATGGTTAACCAATTGATTCCGCTTTGTGAAAGGGCGATGGTCCTTGATTAAATACATCCTGGGATTGACACGATACGAAAGAAAGGTATGCGAACATTCGTCACGGTAGTTTCATGATTAACTGGATGCGGAAAAAGAGGTCGAGTGCGGACGATCGCAAAGTAATTCGATTGGCTTAAATGGATCAACCACGACACAACCGAGGCTTTCACGCACTGGTTGCACGTGAAACGTAAGACGTGGTTGCGAGATAATAGTATAACAATTGATATGGGTTTGTTTATTTTTATAACGCAAGAAGTAATTACTTTGAATTTTTTTTATTTTCTATAAAATAATGTAGATTAAACCTCGCCTTTCGGTGATGAGATCATGAAAGATTCGTGTCGATTTATTTACAATTTGCAAATTTATTTGTAATGTAATAAAATTGTATATCATATTAGAGTAATATCCTTTAGGGGAATTTCGTCCCTGCTTCGTCGTTTCCTCGTTTTATGTGTATTATTAAGTGCAACTTATCAGTAATAATTGTAATTTACAATAGAAACATTGCTAATTTTATTTATAAATATTATTTATATATATATATATTTTTTTTTGACCACTAAAATATTTTTCAGATATATAAAAAAAGCGAATAATGTGATGTTTTTTAAATCTTTTCCCGCTATAACTAAGGAAATTAAGAACACTTTTTTTAATAACCTAAAATGCATCTTTTTACGTTTTTTTTTTCTTTAAACGAACTTTTATGAAATATTATAATATTATAAATTAAAAATCTTCGCTGTTAACAAAGATTATTGCTTTTCAGAGTAATTATACCAATTTTTTCAGATGAAAAAAATGATTCAGTTTTAAATAAATGTTAAAAATGCTTAGAAGGTCGAAATTTGTAACATTTTTATTATATATTATATTAGATTACGTATATAATATTTTATACAAATTAGAGAATTAAAAGATTAACAAAGATTATTGCTTTTCAGAGTAATTATACCAATTTTTTCAGATGAAAAAAATGATTCAGTTTTAAATAAATGTTAAAAATGCTTAGAAGGTCGAAATTTGTAACATTTTTATTATATATTATATTAGATTACGTATATAATATTTTATATAAATTAGAGAATTAAAAATTATACTTTGTCATAGCAGAATAAAATGAACATGTGATATAATACTGATTAACAATTCTAAAGAATTCACTGAGATGATATAAAAATATATAAAACTAGAAACGTAGAATATATTTATTCATAAAATTTGTACCAGAACTAGCAATTAAAAAGAATTATTTGAATATTTATCATTAAAAATTTCTTCAAATCATTATAACTAGAAATTAAATACATAAAAAGTATTTTTTTGCGAATAGAAAGGAAAAAAAGTTTATTATTATTTTCTTTTCCAAGGGGAAAGGAAAAAGAGTTTATTAAAAGTTAATATGGAAATTTCAACTTATATAAACATTTAATAAACGAAAATTTAAACCACGACGTTAATTAAGAATTTATTTTATTCAATAATATTTACAAAATTTATAAGATTATTAGAATTTATAATACGGAGAAGAGACTGAAAAACAAAAGAATTCTTTATGTTGTTCCTTCAATCTTTTACTGCGAATTGTGCTTGTCCAAAACAGTGAATGATGTATTGAATCAATTCTTTTACATATAGAGCTAAACTTTCACTTGCAAATAACAGACATTTTTTTGTATTCAAGTTGCACATATATACGACAAATAATTCGAATTAATGAAAGTTTATATTTTGGGTAGTGATTTTTATAAATGAAAGAAACCTGAAGAAAATTCTCGTTTTAAAAGTTTTCGAATTACAGGGGCTCTGGTTATCGTAATAAAATTATGTAAAAATTTATAACAATATAATAAATATCAAATAAATAAAGAATACTAATGCCCCTTAATATATAGATATTTGTACAGTTTTAACAGAGTTTAAAATAATCTCACTACTCTGCAGTTCCAAGGATTAATACTAAACTTAGGAATTTCTTGTAATTTAGATTTTAATTTAGATTTTAATTTTAGATAGAGAATTCCTAGTTTTTATAATATAACAGGGTAAGAAGTGATAAGATGAAAATTTTCTCATATAACGTCTTATATTCTACAATTTGCAAAAAAACCGATATATATCGTTATGTCATAAATATTTCAGTTTCTTCAAATTTGATTAAAATCATAGGAGTTAGATGAAAAAAAAGAAAAAAAAATATAGCGAAAAGAAATATTTCAACGAAAGAAAGTTTTCTGAGATCTCCGCGCTCATTATCGAAGTTCGATGACAGAATGCTTTCCACAGAATTTTATTAGCGTCTACCGAATAAACCTAATAATTTTGTGCATGCCTTTCACGATATGGCCACGGCTTCCCTCGTTACGAAATAGTGATTTGTGCTACAAAAATCTTGTTTTCACGTTAATATTTTCTCAGTTTTAGGTTATATTGAAATATAATCCAGGCAAAACAAATAATAAATTTATTACTTCCTAGTAATTTCTATCCAGTGACAAACGGATGAATTCGAAAAGAATTATTTTATACGGTTTGGTCACTCATTATGGCCCGCGAACCAGTTACTAGCACAAGAGAGGAAACCGAAAACGTAGCCATTGGAAAGCTTTCAAACGTGAAGGAAAACGCTGCACTTTTAAAGAAATTAGAATTTAATTGAGGGCACTTTAAGAACCAAGTAATCGAACAGACTTCTTGAACAATTGCCATTATGTCTACCATTGTTAGTGCATACGATTGGTACTTTAATGCTGCACTCACAATATTACTGTTGAATTGAATGTTCCTTGTCGAGAGTTCTTGTAAACGTAATGAAACTCAAACTAAGCGAGTTTAAGCTGTCTGTAGTAAAATTGGAAAGAAACTTTCAGTGGAAGTTCTAGTTTACATTCCTCTAAGAGAGGAATCATCATTTATTATGCTTAGACAGCAGATTTTTATGCAAATTCATTTCTGTGAAAATGATTTAAACAGTAGAATTTAGGCAGAAGTTTGTTTTTACATATAAAATATTATAATAGATATTATACGGGTACAACCAGAAAATTTATTAAGAAAGAAGGTGATTTTACATGAAAAAAATAAGTTGAAAAGAAAGAGTAAAATTTCTTCGTTCAAAACTTCGTATTCGAGAAATTTACATTTGAGTTTGAAAAAATATATTTAAATTCAGTTGATTCTGGATTGGTCAAAAATGAGTAATTAACAGAAAGTTATTTTACCTACGAAAATAAGTCAAGAATATAAAATACAATTTTTTCATAATACCCTTTGTCTCTGGGAAAATTCAATTTCAAATACATACCTACCAAATTAATTTTTAATTAAAATTGTTTAAAGTTTGTTTTCTTTAAAATGAAAAGTCTTGAAAGGAAACATTTTATTCTACATTTTTTATTTACTTTTGCAGATAGAGTATACTCCTATCAATTATTCTCGTTTAGTCAAGTTCAAGTATACTTAATAAAAATTTCTCAAAAATGAAGCTTTCAACGAAGAAATTCTGTTTTTTCTTTTCGACTTGCTCTTTCACGTAGACTTACTTCCTTTCAGGCATCACCTATATTTTCGACATTTTAAATGTTTTCATGTACTATGCACATTTTTTTTCTTAAATTTCTGATAAATTCATAAAAATCCGCAATCTACGTTAGTTGGAGAATCCTAATTTTAGACTAATTTGAGAAGTTATATCTGAAATTTTTGATAATTAATCTTCAATGTAATTTATTTATTATTCGTTACTATTTTTCAACTATTTAAGAATTTATTATTTCACTATTGTAGAATTATTCATTTTTATTGATCATCAAGTAGAGATCATCTATGAGATCGTTTCTAATTTTCGCTCATTTCTATTTTCCTTCTCGTATTATTTATGTTATCACTTCCATTTATTGTTCAATTATACTTGGAATATTGAATTATTAAACTGCCAGATTTTTATGCATTTATAGAAGATTTAAAATGGTAAAATTGCCCAGGACATACATAATGTGAATAGTAAGTCTAGTGCATTTTATAATATTTCAACAATTATCAATAAAGTTTCTATTTTTACAAATTATATTTTCTGAAAAATATGAATTTACTTAAGAATATGCAATCAGTTTGTTATTAATATATAAAGCAAAAACAATTGAATTTAAGCTTCATTCGACGCAAATTATTCGCAAATTATTTATTTATTTTTTTTTTTTTTTTTTGTCAAAATTCAAATTGGCATTAATAAGAATTTCGAATATAACATTGATTGTGGTATATATAAAAAAATTGAAATTAGGTACATACCTCATTATCGACATAATACGGCTCACGAAGGTTTTCTGGCACTCGGTTATTGTACGCCTTCGACAAGAGCCATTTTACGGAGGCACGTTGTTTGGCCTGCAACAATAACAACAGGAACGTTCATAAATTTATTAAAGCTTTTATTGTATTATAATTGTATTGTATATTGTATTGTTGTAAAAGATACATAAAAATTAATAGTAAAAAATAAAATAAAATAAAATTAATAGTAAGAAATAAAATAAAATAAAAATTAATAATAAAACAATATAAAATAAAATAAAAATTAATAGTAAAAAAAATTTCGCAGAAATATATCAAACATTAGATAAAATTGGAATTTTATTCGCTTTAAAAATATCTTGTGCAAACACGACGAATTGATAGAACGATTTTTCGTAAAAGAATAAAAATATTAATAAAAATTGAAATTCAAGTCAAAAATTTTGTTAATGTAACACATTTTATAAAATTTTATATGTAGTAAATTGATTTGAATCTACTGATTGTGAGTTATAAGTACGAATGTGAGTTATAAGTTCGATGTAAAGTTTCAAATATATTACTACAATATGCTACGATTTATTTTGATCTCTGCCAATAGTATAAGAGGCTTTTGTCCACTGTATATTTTTGGATATTTCACGGATTTCTATAGAAATACTGTAAAATATTTTATGAGCAGCAATAGGGCGAAAAATATTATATAAATAAAAAAATGAAGGACTTTTAAAATAAAATAAAAAATGTAAAGAAAGACTTTGTAAACGAAAATCAAAATGTCACTATTCTTATTAAATAATAAATATAGCAATAAAGTATCCGATTGAATAAGCAGATGTTTATCACTCTGTTGCATCATCATCACACATGTTACTATCTTATTTTAAAAATGATCAACACAATTATAAATACTTAATTCAATATCTTTCGTTATCATTATTTAACATCTGCTTCTTTTATCACAATTTTATTACGATTACAAACTAGCTTGTTATACCTATAAAACTTATCACTATGTGTTTTATATCTTTATTGCAGTTTTTTTATATTGAATCATCTTAACCTTTAATTCCACATATTTTTAATATTATAGAAGTAGTATTTAGTATATTAGTAGTAGAAATATAATTAGATATATCAATTTATATATTACAATTCTTTTTTTGTTTAAAATAATAATTAGTTAATTTTATTTTATTTTGTCGTTAGTATATCTCAGGGACTGAGTGTAAGAATTGCAAAAATATCCGAAAATCACATTGATTAGATATTTGTAAATTTTATTTCATCCTCCAGATTGATCTCTAATTAATTTAAAAAAAAAGAAAAGATACCGGAGAACAAAACAGGAGAATGTTGAAAAACAATTTCTAGTAGTTTCTAGTAGTTTCTTTCTTTTTTTAAACTCTAATCATCGAAAATTTAAGCTCCCATAATACATTAGTGAAAATCCAAATGTTAAATAAAATTGTTAAAGATCAATAGAATCATCTTCTTAAAATGAATAACTTAAAACAGTATCTCCAGACAAATTCAAGTATGGTAGAACTGGCTCTGTTGAAATCTCTTTGATATCTGTGAGATTAATTCCGGTATCTATTTGCATAGCTCTATCCTTTGCGAAAAACTGTAATAAAAGAAAACTGCAATCAGCATTCACAGCAGTAAAAACGCTTAGAATTCCTTTTTGTACTACACCATTAAGCGACTTCTGAATTTCTGGATATTTCTCAACGAAAATTAACGTCTCGTGAATTTAAATGAATGTTGGAATATGGAAATCCTGCTTCGTTTTCTTTTTTAATCGACGAAAAGACGATTTTGTTTCAGTATTGAGACAAAAATATGTACCTACTCTTTAGTTATGTGCGAGGAAAACCGAATACTAGTGTGTTCAATAAATCATTCCGAATAAAAAAATCATATATGTGCATTATAAGTTTGATTGTTACAATAAGTAAATAATTATTAATTAAAATTTAATTAAACTTAGTGTTTATCAATTAATTAAACAAATAGATAAAAAAAGATTAAAAGATTAAAATTATAAATAAATATTTATAGAAATGTCTATAGAAATATTTGCAATAATTATACTATACATTATTACATTAATGTTATTACATTAAATTTGACACATTATATTCTTATATTAGAGCTTAATATGACTAAGAATGTTTACATTATTTAAAACACTATATTTATATAATGTTATAAATATCTTTCTGATGAGTATCTAAAATTCAATGCCTATCCAGTAGGAAGTGGGCTTTCATCGCACTTTTATACCTTTGCACCTCCTAACAATAAGATAAGGCACTTTACCAGCCACTCGAGACGCTTCTTCACTCCTTATTGTATAGTAAAATATTCAAGCATCACACCTTTTCCTAAAATTGAAGACTATCCTAACGTCTCTAGTTCGACAAACAAATCACTTTTAACGAAGAGCGATATTTTCAATCTCTTGCAACCAAGCAACAATCGAGAATGTCGCATAATTCGTCGATTTATTTCAAGGAGCAATATATTCGCTATGACATGCAATTGATAGCACTGCTTCCGGAACGTAGAACAAGGTTGCATAATTTTCATGCATAATTTTAGTCAAACTGAAAGAAAAAAGTATAGAAAATTTAAAGTTGATTGTTTAATAAAATTATAATATGTTACGCAAAGTGAATGTTTTTATTTATTAATCAACGTGGATTTTAAAATTATAGAAATTTGCTATGTTTAAATGCTGATACGCTGAATTTTTCAATATTTACAATGAAACTCTATTTATATGAACCTGAGGAATAAACAGTTTTAATTATAACTCACCGATTCTCTTTTCTACTCTTGATTTTTCGTTCACATAATAGAAATTAAGATATTTTTATACAATAATTGATTTTATATTACTAATTATTACGGACAGTTTATATTTATATACAATAGAACATCGTTTTTATTAACTTGTCACAAATAATTCATACAGGATGGTCCAATAAGCATTAACATCTTCAACATCTTCATTGTTTTTGATCAAATTTGATTTTTTGTAAAGATTTTTATTCTTTATTGCATTAGAAACTTTTCCCCGTTTATTGAATCTTAATTTTTCGAATGAACGTTTTACATTTTAGTTGTTGGTAGTTTTAATGTTAATCAATAGAAATCAAAGAAAGCAACTTTATCAAGATATATATAAACATTCCGTAAATTTATGATATTAAACTATGCATTATACAATATCCAATTATGCTATATAGAAAACTACATAAAATATTAATATTAAATATTTATATTTTAATTTAATATTTTAATATTTTAATAATAATAAATATTTAATATTTTAATAATAATAAATATTTAATATTTTAGTTTAATATTTTAATACTTTAATTTAATATTTTAATACTTTATTAATAATAAATATTTAATATTTTAATTTAATATTTTAATATTTTAATAATAATAAATATTTAATATTAAAATATTAAAATAAAATAAAAAGATATTTAAATCTTCAATGTTACACCAAAATTGAAATACCTACGAAGTTTCGCAAATTATTGAATAATTTTTAAATTGTAATTCCAAAACATCTTAATCCATTTAAAAGAACTTGAGGAAATAGCAAGAATATAAAATGTCCATTTGCAATGTCGGGTTTAATTATGATAACAGGGTCGACGATTGCGTCATCACCAACTATACAAGTATTTTGGGTGAGGAAGAGCGTCGATTTATAACATTGGGCGAGGCTCGGGAATGTGAACAAGTTAAAGGGGTCAACGAAGTCCGGCCAATCATTGTTATCGACCAGCACAGGTATTGTTAGTTATACAGTAGTCATCCTTCGTAATAGACGACCCTGAATGGCGCCTTATGCCCATTTCGTGTACTGTATACACAGGAAAACATCTTTTGCTTCAGGTCTCTCATGAAAATCCCAAAACAGAGGTAAATCGTTGTTTTTATTCGAAAAGCAATGGGAGAAGATGGTTCGAAGAAAATTGGCTTTTCACTATTTAGGTCATTATTTTTCACTCCTGGCTTCTGATACATTACTAATTGTAAGTTGAAGATATTTATTTTTATTTTATTTTATTTATATTTACTATTAGACTATTTTAGACAGTATTTTATGCATTTGTAGAGATTATTTTTCAGTTTCACACAGTTTCAGATGATCATTTATTTTCATGATCATGAAATATTATTTGAAATTTATTTGAGTTTATAAGTTGCATATGTTTAAATAAAATAAATTTTCAAATAGTATTTTATTTCAGTAAGAGCATTTCGATTATTTATTGCATATGACATAAAAATGTATACAATATTTAGTAAAGTTTGTAAGATCCACTTAGGTAATAATTATATTCATGAAGATATGAATTTACATAAACATCCGCAGTTCATTTATTATACAGTGTTATGTAATTGATGACTCCATGTGAAAAAATAAGCTGTATAAAAGGTTCCATATGCAAAAATTAATTTATTTTACAAGTACCTCTAGTTAGATGAGAGTTGTACATATGTACGTATAAATATTTTTATGTATATATACTTGTACTATTATAATATCTGGAAATATTTAGAATAGTTAAAATAGAAATTCATCATTTAAATTATTAGATATATTAAATTATTTATTTTTTCTTTATTCGTTTTTATTAAATATGTGTTATCATCAAATGCATTCACAAAAGATCAGCAGTCAGGCCAACAAACTAAAGTATAATTAATTTTATAACTGGTGAAATCATATTACGTTCCAGTTGCAGTTCGCTTTAATTAAGCGAATCTCAATGATCAGTAGTAGATTTGTCAAACCAAATGAATTAAATCTTCAAAAAGATGAATATAATGAATGAATGGCGAAGCTGATAATTACAAAGAGATAAGTTTTAATTTTAACCTACATGAACTACATGAAAGGTAGTAAAAACAGGTCAGACAACCGAACCGCTGTATAAAAGTTTTAGAAAGATGTTGAAATATGTACATTGAAAAGGACCTACCAAATCTCTGACAACCACAATATTGAATATATTGTCGTCCCTCGGGACAAATTTGAAGCGGTGAAGGCAAACATC